CCCCTTCTAGGCATTTACCCAAAAGAATTGAAAACAAAAATTTGTATGTGAATGTTCATAGAAGGACTATTCACCATACCCGAAAGGTGGAAGCAACATAAATGTCTATCAACTGATGAGTGGATAAACGAAATGTGTTACATCCGTATGATGCAGTATTACTTGTCCATAAAAAGGAATAAAACACTGCTGCAACATGGATGAACCTTGAAAACGTTATGCTAAAAGCGAAAGAAGTCAGACACAAAAGGCCACATATTGTATAATTACATTTACATGAAATGTCCAGCATCGGCAGATCCATAGAGACAGAAAACAGATTCGTGGTTGCCAGGGAGCAACTACGTCACGGGTTCGAGGCTTCCTTTTGAGGTTCTGGAATTAGATAGTTGTGATGATTGCACAACGTTGTGGATATACTAAATGCTACTAAATTGAACACTTTATAATGGTTAAAATGGTAAATTTTATGTGTGTTCTAGCACAATAGAAAATAATTTTAAATTTGCATACAAAATTTTTTTTCATTTCCCTGCTCTTCGCTTACTGGCAGAATTTTCAGAATTTTCATGAAGTAAAGGATGGGCGTATATAAAAATGAGATGGTAGGGATGCTCCAGGCACCGATAACAGAAAGCCTCCCTTCCGCCCGTCTGCAGGCTGGGATTAAAAACGATTAAATGGATGGGCTGGTCCTACTCCAGGCTCCGCGTGTGGGCGCAGCTCGCCTCTGCTGTCCCGCTTTCCTCCACACGGTGGCAGAATCCTCAGGTTGGTACTGACGATGGCTGCTGCACTCGGAGCATCGTTTCCAAACCGAGACCCCCAGCAGCAGCCCATCCCTCCCTGGGGAGAAGGCCAAGACGCCTTCCCCAGCAGCGCCCACCGCTCAACCAATCCCTGGCCAGGACAATGTCCGCCTGGGGGACGTGGACCCATCAGAACTTGCCCTCTGGGGCTTGGGCGAAGCTGGGATGAAGTCTGCAGGACAGAGGATGGAAGCCTCCGGCATTAATTAGCAGTGACTATCTCTGGATAGTTGGAAGATGTTTGGATTTTATTCTCTTCTTTTTGAAAACTGTCTAAATTTTCTGTAGTAAGCGTCGACTCTTCTTTTAATAATGCAAAAGGAATTGATGAAAACTGTCTAAATTTTCTGTAGTAAGCGTCGACTCTTCTTTTAATAATGCAAAAGGAATCGAAGTCATTATTTGAGAGAGAGAGAGAGAGTGTGAGCCAGCAACTGGGAAATCCAGAACAGCTGGCTTTGCTTTATGCACTGCCTGGAAATAATTGCTGGGTTTGCAATAACCTCTCTCTGGCAGACTGAGGAAATCGCAAAACTGCAGCAAGGATTGAGGGTACTTTCGGGGGGATTCTGACCCTGAGTATACCACGTCTGGGAATGTTGGGGAGGTGGGGGATTGGAATCCCCTCCAGGGGAAATGCACTTCCCTTGAGCACGGTCAGGGGAAAGGGGAAGGGGGGGATGTGGGAAGTGGGGCAAGTCCAAACACAAGGTCAATAGTAACAGGAACGACAAGGACAGACATCATTTGTTGCTTGCTTGCCAGGCCCCTTCCATACAGTCCTGGCCACTCCTCCCAACAACCCCATGAGGTGGCAATACCTATCCTCATTCTCCAGAGGAGGAAGCTGAGGCTCAGAGAGGTGAAGTCATTTGCCCCAAGATCCCACAGCCAAGTCCTGGCAGAACCGGGCTGACAGCCACACTCACCAGCTCACAACAGGGCTGCCTTGGAGTCTGCAGCTGTTCAGTCTCCCTGGGCCACACCACCTCTCAGGGTGGTTCATAGTCAAATTTCCTGATTTGCCCCAACCTGGGGACTCTGGAAGATGCCATCACCTCTGACAAGCTGAAAATGTGTTTCCAGGACACACACAGACACAAAGTGCTACTGATCACACCACATGACATCTTAGCGGTGTTCTCTCT